AATTCTCATAGGGGACCAAAGTAAAGGCCACAAGCCGAAAATGCCCGGCAGCCTAGAAAATGCCTCAGTGATATGGCCCTGCACCACACGCAACCAAGCAAAGCACACCTGCATGCGCGCAGACACATCCCCCATCGGTTACTCATGGGTGCGACGGAAGATGCCAGATGCAGTTTCTGACGACTGGCAGAACTGCACGGGGCACTTCTGATTCTGTGAACAGAAGATACAGGCAGTTGAAATGAGGGTCGTGGCAGAAACTAGCTCAACTCCTCCGTTCTGTGTCCCCTTGCATATATCTTGCAGACCAATCCTTGTACGGGCCCAAAGGCGCCACAAGTCGAACATGCCCGGTCACCTGGAAAATGCTTGCAAGTGCGTCTGCCATCCCTTGGGGGTGGGTGATGTGCCGAAAGGCCGCATGCATTAGACAACGTGTGGAAGTTGAAATTCTGCATTCTTGCATGTGCTGCAAGAAGATTCCGCATTTGTCGGTGAGGCATGTCGCTGCCCTCGTCCAGCCCTTAGCTCTGCATTAGTCTGCATTATTGACGTGGCCAGTCTTGCTCCCCTGGCTGCGTCCCTGTCCCGCTGGTTGCTCGGGCCACGTCTTTCGTATGCCTCCGACCTTCCATTCTGCACTATTGACATGTTTTATTTTGCTCTGCTATGCTCCGTCCCTCCGCCTTCTGATGAGCGGCGCTTCTTCTCTTGCATTTTGCAAAGAGCACATACCAATGGGAGATCTGCCGCACATTGAGGAAAGGCAGGAGAATGCACGTTCAATGTAGGTAGAGGCATTTAAGGGGCCTCCGGCGATGAGTCTTGCCCCCGAACTAGCTTATTGGAGAATAAGGGGGTTGGTAAATTTGTACGTGTCACGATTCCGCATGTTTTAAGAATGTGGGTTCCTGCACAGCAGTCGTGAGCCAACTCCAAGACGGGACGCTGGACCACAAACGCAACCCTGCAACAATTGATGTAGAAAAGGGGGATACAGTTTCGAGCTTCCTATCCGCGGCAGCTGTGTAAGAAGGCCTCCTTAAATCCTAGGAACGAGAAAGCGGCGGTGGAAAATGCAGCACGTTGAGGCCACCATTGGCAAGCATCTGCACGCTTCAGGAGCTCCAGGACATTACCCATCTTGAGTCTTCCGCACCTGGCCAAAGCAACGACCGTGAAGTCACAAGTCATCGAAGGCAATTACGTATTGACATGCCGTAGCAAACGCTGCATCCCGCTTGTGTGCTGCTTGGAAGTTTACACCATCAACGAAACATCGAGCAAGGCCGACAAGGGCACGCTGGTAAAATGGAGGTCCGACTAGGAACGTGATTCTGAGCGTATGCTATGGTTTACACTATGTATGTATATGTTCCCTTGAATGCACCCAAGTATCCAAAGCCCTAAAAGCAAATACTCCCACAAGCCTGTTCACCCATGAGCCCAATAATCCCGTGGAACGCAAACTCTAAACACTGTGATGACTTCGGTTTCATACCTTTTGGTACTGGTGCTCAATAGTGACTCCAACAAGCCCTTGATGCTTTAGTGCCCTCCAAACCATTGCACCTCCGAAGAAGAAGGCACTCAATCACAAGGGGTACCTGGAGCACGCAAAGGTTTGTGCATCAACGGCACATCAGCATTTTGAAGCTGCGTTCTTTAGAAGCAGGCTATGCAAATCTGATTTTTCCCTCCCGCCTGGCTGTTACGCAGATCTGATGCGCTTGGGGTTTTGACACCTTACGAGAAAGTCAAATTCGCGCTCGTCTTTGCACCAAACAGAACTGTCGATATGAACAGGACAACTTGAAGCAAGGTGGCAGTTTACCATTCTGACTGTCTCGCCTGGTATCCCATCACCTTCGTTGAAAGAAAAAATGGTTAACTTCCTGCGCGGAACTCTGACTACCGCGTTCCTGATGCCACAGACCGCTTAGCAGCATTCTCCACGCCCTGCACTCAGCACCAGGCCGCGCTAGTTCCAACATGGCAATGACGAGGCATGCACCTCCGCTGCTGTTTTCCTCCTATTCCTGGACTTATTCCTAATGATTCCTTGACCATGTTGTATTTAGAAACAGCAGTAAAGCTACACTTACATTTGGCGAGAAACGCAGCAAAACACAGCCTATGAACCTTCAAGGGTAACGTTATGCGGGAATGCATTTTCCTTCCCAAGCTATTACTAGATAAGACTGTCCATCCCCCAAGCTCGACCTGAGACGGCTAACTCAGAAAAACCTTGCAAACATGGCTCTTCAAGGACTGGCCTATCCTTGAAAGAGCCCTGGACCCTACGCTAAAGCCGTTCCAAAGCTTCGCACTGCCTGGTCAGACTGTGGGCTGCTGTCCATGGCAGCCATCCCAAATTGGACGGGCAAAGGCTCAAACTTGTTTGAGGAAATCAGGACAATCTGGTACAAAATGCGGACTTCAGATGATGGTTCCAAAGAAGCTGGCTTTAGGCTTAGGTTCAGAGATTGGCCGCAATACGTTTGAGGCAGAACATGGCAGAAAGCAAACGCTGCATGTCACGCACGGCAAAACAGACACACATCTCCACATAAGGGGATGGGCAAATGTTGCATACTCCTCCAGCAGGCTATCTGGCGAGCGCTTGAAAGTATGGATGGTCTGTTAGAGGGAGATTCACCCTCTTTCTCTAGGTGGATAGTCCCCAGCACGGGTGGGGTCAGAAATAGGTCTGGGGGCCTATTGTTCGGAAGATAATTCTCAATGGGCAAGCCTGGCGCCTGTAACCACTAGGGCGCAACCCCTATCACCTAGCCCAAGCGCCTGTAACCACTAGGGGCAACCCCTATAACCCAGCCTAAGCGCCTGTAAGCACCAGGGCGCAACCCCTATCACCTAGCCCAAGCGCCTGTAACCACTAGTGGCAACCCCTATAACCCAGCCTAAGCGCCTGTAACCACTAGGGTGCGCTATCACCTAGCCTAGCGCCTGTAACCACTAGGACGCAACCCTTATCACAAAATCTTGGAGGAGGAACTTATGAAAATGAAATATCAGGCGCAAGGCCTTCGATTTCATTTTGCCGTATCCGACCCCGATATTGTGGGACCTATTAAACATGTAGCGCGAGACCTGTTATTTGAACCTGAATCCACCCTCCCGAAATAGGCCTCGGGAACTATTATAAACAGGTGCCCTAAAACCCTTAACCCTAAAACCCTCAAAGCCCTAAAACCCTGAACCTGGCACATGGTAAATCCCAGTTCTCCCTCCGTGCGGACACTCTTTGCGGTCGCATCAAGGATCATTTGGACCACCGGCATGGCCAGAGCCCTTATAGTGTAGAAACCTGAAAAATTATGAATCTAAGGCTATTTGGGTCGTTTTGTATGGAATAGTAACAATGTTTTGGGTCATTTTGAACACAATCACAACAGGAACCTATATACTATCTTAGTTAGTCAGGTTCCTACATTTGTCAAAACCGGGGCATTCTTCAAGAAGTTCCCGTGCTCTGGTGAAGCCCAGGCGCGCCCTCGGGGCCATAAGCTAGGCCTGAAAAATCTGGGTTCTCGTTGAGGAACTTAACTTGTTGATCCCGATCAGCGTGGGGAGCGTTAATTGTGCGAAGTTTCGCCGAAATCATTCAGAACACACTGATTCGTTTGGGGGGGGGGTTAATTGTGCGAAGTTGCGCGGCCAGAATACGTGACTAGAACAACTTGACCTAATTTGCTTTGGAAATGTATTTAGTTTAGAGTCCTAATCCAAGCTGCCCTTTGGTACTAAGACAAACATCAAACCTCCGGATTTTCAGGACCCCAAAACTACGGATCTTAAGGTTCCAAGCCAGGTCCAAAACTATCGGTTTCTTATGAGACCGCCAGTTCAAGGAGGCCTAGCAATCATTTTTCTTAAGCGGTAGATAGTCCAGCAGCTGCCCAGATCCTGAACAATACGAATCTTTTGGGGGTTCTAAATTATCCGTCAGATCCGTGAACGCCAAACATAGCAGAAACCTAAAACCTTTGAAGTTTGAAGGCCAGCATTCAAAGCCAAGCTTCCAGGACCTCAAATTTCCGGAATTTCAAACCTCATAACTACGGATTCTAAGGTTTCAAGCCAGATCCAAAACTATAGGTTTCTTATCAGACTGCTTATTCAAGGAGGCCTTGCAATCATGTTTCCTGAGGGGTAGTCTAGCAGCTGCCAAGATCCTGAATAGTACGAATGTTTTCGGATGACCGCCAAAAATAGCACAAAGCAAACACCTTTTACTTTGAAAGGCTCAGCATTTTAAAGCCAAGCTTTCAAGATCTCAAATCTCCGGATCCTTTCTAGAATTTTCTGGATCCTCTTTGAATGCCTGCCGAAACCCTTCTATTGCCGAAGCCTATGCTGATCCCTGCGATTGAAATTTACTTAAACCCAGGATCCGAGCCGGTCCTAATCCATCCTATTGAATTTAAATTAAACCTAGGATCCACGCCGACCCTGATCCCTACTATTGAATTTAATTTTAACTAGGATCCAAGCCGACCCTGATCCCTCCTGTTGAATTTTAAGTAAAACCTAAAAAACAATGGAATGTTTGGGGGGGTACAGACACACTTCACTAATTGGGCTACCATTTTCGGTGGGGGAGGGGGGGCCCTACACTGATCAAGGCCCATATGCAGATTAAATAGGGGTCATAGGGTTTTATGTAGTATATAGCTACCATAATATGGTTGTATAGGAAATACTATGGTTTCCCGAACAAGAACCCTGAAAAGGCATCTGGACCTCTTGCACGTGAGGCTCGTGAAAAACCATGACCCCGGGAGGATCCAAAAAAGTAGAGCCCTAAGTCTCAATTCCAGTAAAGGGTGCCACATTGGGGGGCTTTACTTTTTGGATTATTCCAGGGGTCTGGCAAACTGAACAATCCGAGCCACAACAGGCAAAATCTATCTACCACGAGCCGTGGTGCTGTCTCAAGCAAATGCCGCAAGCTCAGGAAGCTCAGGCAAAGCGCGGCATCACGATTCTTTGTAGTACCTGGGGTCAGGGGTGACTTCGGACTGTCACACGCCATCATGCATCGCCTGGAAAGTCTCTCGGGCACATGATGTACTCCGGATAAATCTGGGTAGCGTCGTACACCACGAACTCTCGCGCATTAGTTTCGCCCAGGATGGTATCCTGGGTTTCGTCATTCGCACAAATCTGGGTTCTTGTTAAGGAACTTAAGTTAAGTTACCATACTGTGAGTATATTGTCCTTAACGAGAACGCAGAAGTTGGTATGCCACTCTACAGTACCACACACCAGACTAAAGCATGGGATGAATACTATAACTAGTCATACCAACCCTGTAGAAGGCACCCAGAGGGTCCGGTCAACCCTAAACCCTAAAACCCGGGTTCCTCTGGCTCCAAAAATGTACAATTTTTGGTTCATAGTAGGATATACATATGTACATGCCCAAGCAGTGTGAAAGGTATTACCCAGTTAGTCGGTTATAATACCCTTATGGAAGAAGGTCCCCCAGAACCATACTATCTCAAGCCCATGGATTAGAAAGGGATCTAAAAGGGCAACAAGTATCCACACCAGGGTCTTTTGCAAAGCGGTCTGCTGAGCTGTCGCTTCCCTTCGGCAGCACCCTGACATTGCCGAGGACGACTCTGCAAAGCAGCATGATTTTGCAACCATCGCCCTTCGCTGGATCGCACACCAACAGAAACAGGCTTCACCAAGCTAGCCTCAAAAAGCTAAAAAAAAGTACTCACGCTCAGAAGACAAGAATCTGCTGCTTTCGCATAGCCATTGCTTTTTGACGCGGTGTCTGCAAAGTAAACTCCTGCTCCAAAACACCCTCCAGTGCTTGGGATAAAATTGCCCTTGGAGATAGCATTCGCAGCCACCTCAGAGGTACCTTCACAAGACTCATGGACGCAGTGTGTGACTCTGCTGCACCTCACCTTCTTCAGGATGTCTAGTGACGCTACTTTCAAAGCCACAGCACCATGCAGCAGCCAGACTTCATTGACTCCGTGGTCCAGCGACAACGTGGCAGAGTATTGGAAGCTTTCTGCCGTTTCCTGGGCATGTTTGATCCAATGATCTGATTAACAAAACCACCCAATTTCCAAACAAAGAAACTTCCCTCCCCCGAGCATCCAAATATACGATTCCGTTTGAGTTTGGAACATACACTGCATCTTGCGGCCTGGGACCCTGTTTGCACCCCGGCAACCGCCCAGGAAAAAAGGGAGGAAATGAACAAAACATAGGCTTATTATGTATTAAGCAACCTAACAACCTGCAGCTGAGTAATTATTCTGAAGATGATAATTACTGACTGAAAAATCGCTTTCAGTGAGGTGTCTGGGATTAGCTTGTGGCGCTGCAGCAAAGGGTTGTGGATTTCTTATGACCTCCTCTTACAGATCAGTAGCAAAATCACTTGTTCCTGATATACCCCTTACAGGCTGAGGTCCATGGCCGAAACCTGAGGATAAAAGCCAGGGAGTAATAGCAACTGCTTCCCAAGGGAGGCCCTCCAACAAGCAGAGAACAAATGAAATACGAAGAACCGCCTCTGAGATTCAACTTTTGATGCTGCAGTATTAAAATTGTGGGATTCCTATTTTACCCTACTAATTCCATTATTAACGCGGACGCGCCCATTGTTCTGGGGGCGGGACCCCCGGCCAACATTCAGAAACACGGATGATTAGTCTTCTCGCTCGGTGGAAACTAAGCGCCGCTGGCACAAAACTGGGATCAACAACTGCCGACAGCCCTCTGCTCTGGTCTGGCAGGCATCCGGCTTGACATCAGCTCGAACCACAGATCTTTTGCGAATCCTTGCTGAAGGGCACAAGAGCACTTCGCACATACCGAAGTTCTCAGCATGATGCAGTCATGACATGGTGCAAGAGGTGCTTCTGAAAATCACCAGCCATGTTTCTCTGCTCGTCTGGCTGCGTATGTTCTCCACAGCACTTCATCTTCAACTCGGAGACATTTCATAACTGTGCATTTCGTGCCCATCCTTAGGAACTCGATTTTGCCAGTGTCTAACCCTGAAGGTACCTAGAAGAAAAACGTGTATACTTTCATGTAATCGCCACCAACTTCTTCGTGAAAATTGTTGGGCCATTGCGCAGCTGATTTCGCGTACCAGGGCGGGCAAATTGCATCATCGGTGCCTCAAACGAGCTGCAGAGCTGCGACATGCTCAAAAAACGCACCACAACCACACACAAAACCGCACAGTGTTAGATGACGCCCTTCGTCTGCCAACTGGAGGCCTTCAGAGGCCTGTGAATTCACCATGAGGATAATTACGTCTTACAATGAAGATAAGTCTGAGGTCCTCTTAGGTGACCCGAGCTGGAACTTTAGCGACCGCTCCGACTCAAATGATTGCCAGGACCCCCGTACATTTTGCGTGTAGGGCTGCCTTTCCCAGAACAGCACACCATGAGGGAGCTACGTGGACGGAGCCCGAGATCGGTTGGAGGGCTATCTGCCATGTTTCAACTGCCACCACCAAGATTTGATCGAGATGACCATCAATAGGAGGCCAATCCCAAGTGTGAAATGACACAGGACAACCCCAAGTCAACGGTCACAAAGCACCAGTGGGGCCGTACCCGGAAGGACCTACACAACGCGGTAAGCTAAGCAAAGCAACCCCAGGAAGACAACCTACAACGTGCACTGCAACAGAACAGTATGTCCACGCGGAAATCTTTTCCTATGGGCGACTATCCTGCGGGCAGTACCTAAAAGGTCTGCACTACTCAGTGCTTGAGGTGAAAGGTGGCCACATATGCAATTAGATGACAATATGCAAAGCGCGGTAAGCATGACAATTCACGCCCCCCGCGACGCGAGTCTGCATCCAGATAGGAGCGGAGTTAAAAGGTCATGATACCGTAGATTACGCTCAACACCCTGAAAGAACGAGGAAAGACACCCAGCCTGCGTTTAAGGGTCTTAAAAGGGATCCATCGGCATCAGGACTGTCATCACGGTTGCATATGAAACGTGGCACAGCAATACACCCACTTGCTGACGCCCTCATTCAAAATAAACATTAACCGGAAATCTTGCGTGGTATTCTGCCCGGCACTGTACATGCAAACGCTCTCAGTTCATCTTGTCCATGCAGGCGGCAAGAGGGATCATCCGCAGCAGCCCGTGGCGAGCACGGGAGAAGTGCCATGGCTATGCACGGAGGCGTCCATGGCTCAGCAGCTCGGCGTGGGTCAGTCAGCGCTGTGGTGTTCGAGTTCGGTCCCTCGGCTCTCCAGACTGATCACCGCTGGCTGCCGCCTTTCTTGCCCTTTCCAGATTCCTTAACCTTGCCTTTTCCCTTTCGGCCCTTCTCGCGGCCACGCCTCTGCTGCTCCAGCATCTGGCAATACTCGGGAGCTTCAGGGACATCAGGAACCGGTGGTGGCGGCGGTAAATCCAGCAGGCCAGAAGACGGTTCACGTCGCTCCAGTCTCGTCCGTCCTTGCTCGTCCTGGTATTTGGCAGCATATCCAGGGTCACGGGAGCGGTCACGTTCAACTCCTCCAGGAGGAAGAGGTGGAGGCAGCAAAATTCTTTGCAGTGGCTGGCATTGATCGCGATCTCGACGTACACCAAAAGATGCGGCTGGTCATGTCCTCAGCCTCATAATCCATTGTCGATGAGGCGTTCGACGCAACCACACTCGGCCTGAAGAATCTGCGGGCCTGCGTTTTAACTGGAGGGGCCATCATTGTGATTCTCTCGCAAGCCGCGGTAGACGCTGCTGACTGTGCATGAGCATCAGTTGCGGTAGCACCGTCATTCATGTCATTCATGTCATCATCGTTCATCATCATCAGCAGGAACGGGTGCTTCCACGGCAGCAGACCTGTCAGTCGCAGTAGGATCTTAAATTTAGATATCTTTAGCCTACGCAGGCGTTGCCTTACCAGGTGCAGGCGCGGTAGCACTAGCCCTCGCGGTGCCCCAACCGACCTGCTCTGTTTTCTTCCCGGAAACTTTTGGTAAGGTGAAACGCGGTTTCTTAATGGCCTGCTCCTTGTTTTCAATCTCCGCGGCCCTCAACTTCGCGGTGCCCTCCGAAGAAGAAATGGATTTGGCGGCACGAGTTGCCTCCTCATCAATTTCTTCTTTCGTCATGGGCTTGGTTGCAGTAACATCAACACCACCCAACGAGGGAGCCATGTGACTTGCAGCAGTGAGAGGCACGGTCCCAATCGGATCGATATCCTCCCACTTGCCCTCCACGCTGTCGTTCACTTCCATCAAAGTGTCACGGCCAGGCCTTCGCTGGACTCCGGCAACTCGTAAAAGAAAGTAAACGCGGTTTTGCGCAACCATTTCGACAGCTCCTCGGGATTCAATGTGCACACACGAGACGACCTCCCGGCTGGTCCGCCCGACGAGTCTGAGACAATCTTGGAACGGAACCAACGCAATGCTGTCCGCTCGGTGTTCATTGAGAATTTCTTCCGAAAGTAAGCCATCATCTGCGCGTAGGACGAACGCAAGTCGGTGAATAACGTCCAGTTGTCGCTGATCTGATCAGGATCAGTCTGCGTGGGATAAACCTCCTGCGACGACAACGCGGCCAAGTATGCTCGGCGTCAAGGCTTTGAGTAAAACACGTAGCTTGACAATAGCTTGTTGCGACAATTCATGAACAACGACGCGTAATTGCAACGAAAATCACCATTCTGGTCAAGAAACTAAGCAACGGCTGCGGCCTCCGTGACTTCGCGGCTTCGCGTTTGCGCAATGCATCGCAATGCGCTGAAATGCGCTGGAATTCCGCCTTCGCGCTGACATGCGGCGTTGCGCCGGAATGCGCTGAAACTTGGGTGTGCGCTGAAATGCGCTGAAATTCGGGCGTGCGCTGGACTGCGCCGAAATTCGGGCGTGCGCTGGAATGCGCTGAAATTC